AGGAAGCTATTGTTACCCAGGGCACTTGATGTGTCTGTGAATAAGTACACATGAATCATGTATACTTATTTTGTAACATTCATTTTGTTAATGCTAATTACAAATCATGTCAGAGTCTGTGCTATTCTGACTATTTTAGAACTTAAAACTGGATTGAAGTTTCTAAATAGTTTATATAAAAAGTAGAATTTTGGATTTTATTCTCCAATTGCTCTAAATGGATGAACAATGCTAACAACCAGAGATAGTCTTTTTTTTGAAACAGAGTCTCACTCTATCGCCTTGGGTAGAATGATGTGGCATCATCACAGCTCACAGCAATCTCAGATTCCTGGGCTCAAGTAATCCCCCTGTCTCAGCCTCCTGAGTAGCTGGGACTATAGGAGCCCACCATCATGCCTGGCTAGTTTTTTTTTTCCTTCTATTTTCAGCAGAGATAGGGGTCTCACTCTTGCTCTCAGGCTGGTCTCAAACTCCTGGGCTCAAGTGATCATCTTGCCTCAGCCTTCCTAACAGCTGGAACTACAGGTGCCCACTGCCACACTCGGCTAGTTTTTCTATTTTTACTAGAGATGGGGTCTTGCTCTTCCTCAGGCTGGTCTCAAGCTCCTAAGCTCAAAAAGTCCTCCCACCTCGACCTCCCAGAGTGCTGGGATCCCAGGCATGAGCCACCACCTCTGGCCCTAGAGATAATCTTTGAACGCACATGGAGCCCCAGCTGAAGACCCCATGCTTCCATACCCTTTTTCTCCCCCCTCCACCAATGAGTCATGGTGAGGAGAGCAAAGGTGGCACATTGACCTACATGCCTACGGAGCCCTTTGTGGGCAGGGGTGAATGGTGACAGTAGAACACACGAGGACACTTCCAGAAGGGCCTGGAGTGAAGTGTTCAGTCTGTCCAGAAAAATAGGATTCTTAAGTGAGCAAGTAAACAGGTAAATTAAAGACCAGATATGTCCATTTCAAGGGAGGGATGAGCTCATTGAACTAAATTAATATAATTCTCTAAGAACTTACCACTTCTTCACATTTTAGTAAAATGTTGTCAAAAATATTTTACAAGAGTTCTAAAAAAAAAAAAAAAAAAAAGAACAAACCTGTATGTCTAATAACTGCGGTGTGGAGTGTGGAGTTCAGGGTGAACCCCAGGTCTGTAGCAATGATAATCCTGCAGTTATGGAGGAAGAGCACAAACATGCTGTGTTTAATCAGAAACCTGTAAGTAAAATCCATTCTTATTTGAGATTCTCCTCTCATTTTGAAAGGAAAACATTGTCTAGCATTTCATTGCCTTGAAAACACAAGATACTGCATAAAAATGTCAGCTATAGACTTCTAAGCAGACGTTTCCTTTTACAATATGGCACACATCATAATCTCTTTGCCTTGGTTCTCCCTGAAAAACAGGGGGAGTATGACCACTAACTAGCAGCCAAACACTCTTCTCTTAAAAATGCAGGAAAAAGCAGGGAAAGCTGAAAACACAGCCACCACAAAACAAGGTGTCCAGAGCAGAGGTCTGCCCCGAATTTATCATTTGATTGTATTTCCTCTGGTCTTTTAAATTTTTTCTAGGTACATCCTTTTCACAAAGAATGAAAAATGAGTTAGTAAAATTGCTATAAAAGTACTTTCCTTCAAATAAACCTAAAGTGATTTGGCCCTTCCAGACAACACCTATTACATTTTACAGCATTCCCATTGTCTGATGATTACTACACATAATTTGTCTGGAGTTAGAACACATAGCTCTCTTTGGTTTTAATGGAGAAATTCTCCTTGAACAAAGGAAGATCATTCTTAAAAGATAATTAGTTCTTTTATACACCCATACATACCTGGTTCCTTCCTTCTTCCCATGAAATGACCTATTCTCACACTGAGGCACTGTTTGCCAATTTTCAGACAAAAGTTAATTTTTCTAAAAATGATATAAGCCTCTGAATAGAAATTTGACTGTAAAAAAGTTCAGATACTTAACCAAGTAGCATGACCAATATCACTGCAACAAATAATCTTTGAAGTGCTGTCTTCCGGTTAATTCTGAGGACCACAGGGAAACTGTCTCATCTCTATCCCATTCCTTTGTCCCTACATTGACTGGAAAAGGAAATATATCTTAACATAATATTATTATGCCTCCCATTCATGATAGTGGCAACTTTAAGATAAGTGTGGATAATTGTTTTTTTTCCCAAGGAGACCTCGCTAACCCAGCAGATCTTACCCAAAGGATATTCTTTCTTCAGCTCCTCCTACACTTGTCTCAGCTGTGACACCAGGAAATTAGAAAACGTTGCATGAGTGGTCCCCACCAAAAAACAAACTATTCCTGCAAAATTAAAACCACAACATGGCCAGGTTACAGGGTTTGGACCCTAATCCCAATGCTCTGGGAGGCTGAGGCAGGAGATTCTCTTGAGCTCAGGAGTTCAAGACCAGCCTGAGCAAGAGTGAGACACCCGTTTCTACTAAAAATAGAAAAACTAGCCATGAGTGGTGGCGGGTGCCTGTAGTCCCAGCTACTCGGGAGACCGAGGCAGGAGGATTGTTTGAGTGAAACTCTGTCTCAAAAAATAATAAAATAAAATATAACATATACACTTGGGTTGCTAAAACACATCAACAACAGCAACCAAAAAAAAGAGTATATCCCATAACTTATTAATAATAATATTATAGTTTTTTCTCTCTCTCTAAAGGATTTCTCATAAAACCTACCTCCATGATTTCTTTTATGTCCCCTGATCTTTCATTAGCCTTGGAGTGAGCACGGATGTTGTTAGATAACCTCATTTACACCAAGAAATATCCAGCAAACACTTTCAGTTTTGCACTGTCATCCTTCATAAATATCTACATAACTATGTCCAAGAAAACATGTACAGAATTGAAAAGAAGGGGACACACTCCCTGCTCTCGGGGAGGTTAAGTGCCTGGTTGAGAGAAAGCGGGGAGCAGAGAAACAGAAGGGGCGCGAGGGTGTGGAGGAAGAACGCGGAGGGTGGCCGGGCCGGGGTGGGTGGGGCGCCCGGGTGGGTGGGGCGCCGGGCGAGTGCGCGCCCTCCTGTGGCGCCGGGTTTACCGCAGGTCGAGGCCGCACCCAGGGAGGTGTTTCAGGAGCTGCGGCAAAGACCAGGTTTCCTTGAGAGACTCCGCTTGTATGTACTGAAGACTGTAAAGAAAGAATCTTCTGGAAGGAAGATTTCCGAAGAGAAAGCTTGTGAAGGATGCTAAAGCAGAATCTGGGCCTTGAGATGTGGGCAAAGGAAAATCATGGAGGAATTTTGAGCAAGGCAAAAAATCCTATTGAAGTAGCCCTTTGAGAAGCAGGCTGTGGGTGTGCTGAGGAGCCGTCCGGAAAAGGCAGAGCTGAGGCCCCGTCCAGGTGCAGTGGGAGCCACACCTGCGGTGCCCCGGCCCCAGTGGAAGGGGGAAGGATTGGCGAAGTCAAGAGAGGTTTCGAAGAAAGGATTAAGAGGAAACTGACTGTGTTGTGGAGTTAAAAAGAAGGAAAGAGGGAGAAAAAAGAATCCTGGAGCTAAGCACAGGTCATGAAATCAAGACTCCAAGGGTCTGCCGATGGTTTCCCATTCTCCCTTCCTTTCCCCAGGCCGGGTACCCTAGTGACTCCACCAGGTTAGAGAATTGGACCTCCCTCACCCGCAGCCAGGGTTTATGCTGTCGGACAGTATTGCTGACACAGAAATGCATTCACATAATGAAATTACAAATCATTTTTAAATACAAGTAAGTTCTATTAACAGTGGTTTGTGGTCTTGGAGCAGTAAAATGGTGATCTGACTAACAGACAAAGCCAACAGATGTTATATTTTTCTTACACTGTTTTAAACAAAATACCACTTCCCTACATGTTGATGTCTTAGTCTGTGTAGCTATAACAAAATACCTGAAACTGGGTAATTTATAAAGAACAGAAATGTATTTTCCCACAGTCTGGCACCTGGGAAGTCCGACATGAAGGTCCCAGCATGTCTGGAGTCCGGTAAGGGTGAGGGCTGCTCTCTGTCTTCACGGGGTGGACCAGGCCAAGCCTGTGTCACTCAGCAGAAGGGCAAAAAGGTCCATGGCACTACCTTCCACCTGTTTTAAAGCACCACTAATTCATTCCTGAAGTCACAGCCCTAAGACTTAATCACTCCTGCAAGGCCCCACCTCTTTATACCATCACCTTGGGGTTAAGTTCCAACATACACATTCTGGAGAGACACAGCCATTCAAACCTTGACACCATGGAAGGAAAAGTCCTTCAGAGATTTTTATAATAATGACATTGGGTTGAATCTCTGAATTCACAGAACTACCATTGTAAGTCCCTTTTAGTGCCAATAAATAAAATAACAATTATAATAACCACTTTGTCAAAAATTTGGGAACGATAAATTAATAGTTGGGAACACGTACTCCTCTTTCCTCTTGCTCCCTATGGATGAGATTTCCTGGGGGTGGTGGGGTGGTGGGGTGGCCCTCTGTCCTCTCTTCTTATCTATAATCCATGAAAAAGATTGATTGCTTGTCTAATAAGCAGGTTTGAAAGAAAGGGATAAGAAGCTTTCTCTCAGCTCCTGAGTCTCATTCCCCTTTGGAATTAGCTGATCCCAGGGCTGCTTGGGTCCATCTGCCCTGTAGCTAGAAGATGTTGACCAGACAGACAGATTCAGAAATGCCTGTTTACACTACAGACACACCAAAAATGTTCTTGCATATACCACTCACAAAAATAAAATTTTGCAAAGTAATATGTGTTAGACTCTGTCCAAATTTCTTGGACTGTATGTTAGGGCCCTTTGTAATTGGGTCACTTTGTACAAATACAATCTTATTTCTCACTTCAGTTGACCTAAAAGTTCTCAGCTTTCACTTTTGTGGGTTTTACCATACTCAGCAACAGCAAAGCTCCACTTCACGGCATATGGCCATGTAAGTTGTTGAGGCAGAATCCGTACCAAACCAACCACTGGAGAACAACACACTCACCATGGGGTGGGCCAAGCCAACTGCCAGCATCCATGTTTTGTTCAATATCATGGAACAAGTGAGTCTCACTCTGTCTAAAATCATGAACAGAGAAATGAGATGATTAGATGTTTTTGATCATGTGTTGCTTCATGTTATGGAATAAACGATATGCCACTGTGGTATTCTCAAATTCAGGGGTATCTGAGCTTTGGCACAACCGCACTCTGATGCGTCACGTGGGGTGGCTGGGAGGCCCCTGTGGTCTTCTGTTGTCTGCATTGCCCCAGAACCCACATTCCTTATGTGTAAATTTTTCCCTTGACATTCTTGCCAAATGGATGGATGAGCCAACTGCTCTGAGCACAAAGACTGAAAACATGATTTTTTTTTTTTATTGTTGTTATTGTTTGGGATTCTTTGAGGGTACAAAGAATTAGGTTAGACTGATTGCATTTGTTAAGTAAAGTCCCTCTTATAATTGGGTCCCGCCCCTAAGAGGGGTGTCATACACTGTGACCCCCAACCCCCTGTGTCTTCCCCTCTTCCCGCTCCCACATTCCCCTACCTCACCCCTTGTATTAGCTCATCTACTGCCTTCATATTAGAATAGAGTACATTGGATTCCTGCTTCTCCATTCTTGTGATGCTTTACTAAAAAGAATGTGTTCCAACTCCCTCCAGATTAATATAAAAGATGTAAAGTTTTCATCTTTTTTAGTGGCTGAATAGTATTCTAAGGCATAAATGTGATGTGTTTTATAGACATTTACAAACACAAATGATGGCTGAAATAGCTTATTGGCTCCAGAAAGCATAAATGTGTAGGAAGTGGAGCAAAAAATTTAGGACTGAAACTTGAGAAAAAGGATGGTGATGCCTTGTCACATGCTAGATGAAGAAATTATAGACAGGCTCAGCACCTGTGGCTCAAGTGGCTAAGGCACCAGCCACATACACCTAAGGTGGTGGGTTCGAATCCAGCCCGGGCCCAAAAACAACAATGATGGCTGAAACCAAAAAATAGCTGAGCATTGTGGTGGGCACCTATGGGCTCAGCTACTTGGAAGGCTGAGGCAAGAGACTCACTTGAGCCCAGGAGTTGGAGGTTGTGAGCTGTGATGCCACAGCACTCTACCCAGGGGGATAGCTTGAGGCTCTGTCTCAAAAAAAAAAAAAAGAAAGAAAGAAAGAAATTATAGACAAACAGGCATAAATAGCCCTGAGGGAAATATATATTTCACTTAAGAAGGGCTTCTATGAATTGGAATAATTAATAACTTTGTAATAAAAATAACTGATGCTTTGATCTTAACATGTGTTCCCATCCCTGATAATGATTTATTTGATAGTTAAATCAGACTTCATAAAGTCTAGCCATTTTTGCTTGATATTCAAGGTCTACAATGTGATATGGTGAGGGTATAAACAACCAAATCACAATATTTGAGGTTGTTAGGTAGAGTCCCTCTTGCAGTTATGCCCCACATCCAAAAGGAGTGCCATACACCCCTACATTATGCCCATTTAGTGGGAGCACCCCAACTTCCCTTCCTCTTTCTCCCTCCCCCCAACTTGAATTGAAATTAGTTTTCTCCCATGTGGGTGTGAATTAGATCATCTACTGGCTTCATATTAGATCTCCCATTTGACCCCACAATCCCACTACTAGGCATCTACCCAAAAGAAAAAGAAAATCATTTATCATAAGGACATTGTTTATTACAGCTCAATTTACAATAGCCAAGACATAGAAACAACCTAAATGCCCATCAATTTAGAATGTATTAACAAACTGTGGTATATGTATACCATGGAATACTATTCAGCCATAAAAAGATGGTGACTTCACATCCTTTGTATTAACTTGGATGGAGTTGAAACACATTCTTCTTAGTAAAGTATCACAAGAATGGAAAAGCAAATATCCAATGAACTCAATACTAATATGAAGCCTGCTCACCTTTAAAGCTTGGTATTCCAGTCAAGAGTCAAGAGTCTGGGCCTGATACAGTGGCTCACACCTGTAATCTCAGCACTCTGGAGGGCTGAGGCAGGAGGATCCCTTGAGCTCAGGAGTTCTAGACCAGCTTGAATAAGATGGAGACCCCATCTCTACTAAAAACAGAAAAATTAGTTGGACGTGGTGGCAGATCCTTAGTAGTCCCTGCTACTCAGGAGTCTGAGGCAGGAGGATTGCTTGAGCCCTGGAGTTTGAGGTTGCTGTGGGTTATGATGCCACAGCACTGTACTCAGAGTGACAGAGACTCTGTCTCAAAACAAACAAACAAACAAACAAACAAAAAACAAGGCATTTAGTGTGACATGATCTTACCTAAGGGGCACAATGTGAGGGTGTATAGCATGCCCCCTGGGTGAGGAGCTCTTTTACAACTCAAACTTTACCTTGGAAGTGAGAACAATGTAATCTAAAAATTTGTACCTTCACATTAATTTGAAATAAATAATGAAAAGAAAAACAAAACAAAACAAAAATTCAAAATAGCACATAAATAGGTTCTAGATATCACCACATAGTTTTTTTTACTACCTCTGTGGTTCTTAGTCTCCTATGACGATGTGTGTGCCCCTGTGTCAATGAAGACTATTGCTTCCCCTGGAACAGTATCACAATTACCTTGTATGCCCATCAGGACGTTCACACAGTGAGAACAACCAGTACATATTAAGTTGAATTATGTTGCAGACCAATTATGCATTAAGAGTCATGAGCACACGTTGGGGTAGAGTTGGCAGAAATAGTCAATGAAGGTTTCAATTTAGTCCTAAGCCACATAGTAACATATAAGCAGAGTGGTCTGATGTGGTAGAATAACAAGGTCATTGGCTTTGAAGTCAGAGGCACACACTTAAGAGCTGGTGCTACTGACTGGTCTAAGTGACTTTGTTCAAATGTTTTCACCTGAGTATCCATACCTTTTAGACAGAAATAACTATAATCCCTCTTCTTCCTGTTTCACAGGTCTTCATGACTAGATGAGAGTACAATCTTGTTAGAAAAATATTCAGGAAGAGTCAGGTACAGCAATCTAATATCAGCTAACAGGGCATTAATGCTTTTCTGAAGGAATTTCCCTGAAGCCAGAAATATTTAAGAATATCCTTAATGCCATGAGTGAATTTGCAAGGAGCTTAGCAAGCTACTAGTGACACCAATCTGAGTGGGGAGCTCAGCAACCTGGAGAAGATAATTATACTTTTAAATGACCTTGAAAAAATAAACAGAAATAAGAAGAAATAAAAAATAAACAGAAAAAAATTAATCAGCATGAGACAAAAGGGGAACGCAACCCCCACAGACAGGATGATAAAGGCCTGGTTACAGGCAAACATGGCACAAACAAAGACAATTATAGAGGATCACAATGAGTCATCAGCACTATGGTACTGCTCAAAACCAGGTTGATAATACAGTGGAATAAGTAAGATTCTAGCATGTGGGAGTTCCTAGACAATATTCCTACTACTCTCAGGATTTTATCATTTTGGAAAAAGCTTATCAAGCACCTACTGCATACAAAGCACAGTGGTAGAGAAATGTGTCTGATCTGTGGCCTTAAAAATGAAACATGGGCTCCTGGGATGGGATCCCAAGACAAGAAGTAACATGATTCATCGTTTGCAAAATGCAGTCTCAGAGTAGACGTTAACAGGATCAGGCTTATTTAGAATTGAGAAAGAGAAAGCAGAGATGTGGAGGCTGGGTGAGATTAGTGAGTATCTAACTAAAGATAAGAAGGTAAGAAACAAGTAGAGAATAAGAGGCAGGCATCTGCATGGGAGGGGTTTGTCCAGGACCCTGCCCAGAAGCTTTCCCCAAACCACACACCTCCTTTCACATTTCCAGGTTTGGAACCCGACAGTCAGTCACCAGACGGATGGCTCCCCACTGCATTGCAAGCTCTACAAACTCAAGGATGGAGTCCTTTTTGCTTCTACTGTGTGGCTAAAACACAATTATGTGTCAAATAACTAATTAATAAATCAATTCACACAGATCACATGGGGCTATGTAAATTTTGTTAGACGAGTCACTATACTATGTCTCAAATGATTGGCTGATATTGAAAAGAAAAGAAGAAAAATAAATAAAAAATAAATGCCCAGACACCTTGTAAAAATGATTTTTGTTTGTTCTGTTATTTCACAAACATAAATGAACTTTATCTTCAAGGTTGTCATCCAAGGCATACTAGATTTTAGCATCCTAAAGGTCTGAAATACAAAGGTTGGTTAATTTGTTAGCCATTTGTCAGAGCCATGGGAGTTGAACACATGCTCTACATACCACTTGCCATGATAACAAAATTTTAAAAAATAATGTTTATAAAATAATGAAGATAATCTGAACATTCAATAATGCAGACAGGTTGATCATAAACTATAAACCACATGCTTATATACTTTGGACTTTTACAGCTTTTAATTTATCAAAGGAAATAATTAGCTCACTCTGTGGCAGCCACTGACGGAATTTATTCATTTGGAAGGCCATGGGTTTCCTGTCATTAAAACTGCATCATGTCCTTCCTTTTCTATTAAACTTCCACTGAGGGCAGTAAGAAGTCACTAAAAGGAAATGAAGAGTTTTTTTGGCAATGTTCTCGTACAATGATTTAATACTCTTAAAAGATAGCAAACCAGTAATGTATGCCAACAAGTATATCATATAAGATGAGGGGTCCAATTACCACATTATTTCCTTTATTTGAAGTTTTGTCTGTGACTCAATTAACTGTGATTTGCAAAATCATGTCAATAAATTTAGGGTTTTCTTTTTTTTTTGCAAGTTAAGGCAGTTTTTGGTTTTCATTAGTAATGTTTACCTATAGCAAAGGAATCGAGTTAGATTCATAACCATTGTATGCAGATTTATGTCAAAGAATGTTACTTTTTTCTCCAGATGATCAACAGCATCTCATTAACCATAGAATAATTGTAGTTAAAGCTCACGCACATTTCTTTTTCTCCTCATTGAAAGGTTTTTAAGAGAGATAAACTGTAAGTTCTCATCTTGCTTCTATAGAAATGGAGCTAATGTTTGATCTTGATTCTGTTAAAAAAAAAAAAAAAAAGTTACAACTACAGCTCCTAATAAATGTTGCCCAGTTTGGAAAAGTTTAAATGAAATGCTTGTTTTCCCAAGGTCTAAAACAGACTTGACAGGGAGGTAGAATTAGCCTCTCACCCCCAGAAGTGGGTGGTCCTGTGAGGCCACAATCAAGGGACGCTGTTGCTGAAGGTTTGGTCTCAGGTCTCTGACAAAGTCCGGCCAGGTGAAGGGGCTCCACAGAATGTGACAAGGCCTGCCCAGAAACAAATAGCTGGTGAAAATGTCTCAGATGGGTTCATAAAGTTCATATGCTAAGAAACAAAAAGGCCCTTAGTTCTAAAAATCACAGAAAGAAGAAAACCCCACACCCTGAACTCTCTCTGTTAAATATTAAACAGAAACGGCACAGTTCCCACTTTGTCCCAGTCTTTAGGCTATCATGTCACAGTTGGGTTTTTTTTGTTGTTGTTGTTGTTGTTGTTTGTTTTGGGCCAGGGCTGGGTTTGAACCTGCCACATCCAGCATATGGTGCTGGCGCCCTACTCCTTTGAGCCACAGGGGCCGCCCTATCATGTCACAGTTTTATCAGGATGAGAACAATGTGTTTGTAATTAGTACATCAATTTATTTTAGACTAATTTTAGATTTACAGACATGTTATAAAGGTGGTTCATAGAGTTCCTTTCACCCAATTCCTCCCATTGTTAATACCTTAGGTCCATGGTACACACGAACAACTGAGGAATTGACATTGAGTACATTAATTTTAAGAAATAACAATTTTTTGTTTAAAAGTTTACTTTTTTTTTTATTAAAACACACCTGTGTACATTAATGCAATCACAGGGTACAGTGTGGTGTTTTCATATACAATTCGAAATACTCTCATCAAACTGATTAATGTAGCCATCATGTCATTTTCTTAGTTATTAAGACATTCATACTCTGCTTTTAGAAAGATTCACTTGTACCCTTGTAAGATAAACCATAGAGGTGACCCCACCAATCACCCTCCCCCCACCCACCCACCCCCCTCCTTTCCCCTCACCTTCACTCTCCCCATATTCTAAGGCTATAATTAGGTTATATCTTTCCTATGAAAAGTTTACTTTTTAAAAAATGGCTTTGGCTTCAGTACAGAGGACATTTTACTGAATTTCTATGGATAAATCCATTTCAACACTGTTTTCTCTGAGCCACTCAAACCAGGGACTGATGCTGCCACTGAGTTTGCAAATTAAGATATAAGATCAGAGCTGGGTGAGATTGTCATATTGTCTCCTTTAATTTGGAGAAGTAGAAAGAGGCTGGAGAGAGACTCATAAAACAGACTTTACGACTCACTTCGGGACAGATCGAGAAGCCCAAGTTCCAATCCCTTGTCCCAGCTTTTGCAATTACATTTCCGGAGGAAGAAAGAGTAGGAATTAGAAACAGGATAATGTCGTCTTAAATCACCATTCTTAGCCTTTGCCTTCTTGTGGAAGCCCTGAATTTTTATAACATGCTCCTCATATTGAATAGTGTGACACAACGAAAAACACAACTTGAAGGCTTGACCCTTCCTCAATAAAAAATCATTTTGTCTGACATCCTATAAAACCTGTGTATGAGTGTCCGCTAAGCTCCAGCGTCTCCCCCAGTTGGCAAAGGAAAACATTGTAAACACATACAGTAAAGCTAAAGCTTTATTTCAGTATCATTTACAAAGAGCTAGTCACTTAACATTTCTGGGTAATGGTCCCCAAGCCTGAGGCTGAGCATCACTTCCCAACCCTGAACCCACTGAACTGGAAATGCACAGTGTTGTAGCATCAAGGATCCAGCCCTCTGCAGCTTTGAGACTCTGTGATGTGGGCAGTCCTCACTGGGGTTAGGTGATATCTCGGGGGGATTTGATCTGCATTGCTTTTACAATCAAGCATTTTTTGAAATGTTTGTTGGCCATTTGTCTGTCTTCCTCAGAGAAGACTCTCTGTTCATCTCTCTTGCCCAGTGGTAGATGGGATTGTTTGCTCCTTTTGTTGATTAATTTGAGTTCTCTGTAGATTCTAATTATCAACCCTTTGTTAGATTCATAGCATGCAAATATCTTTTCCCATTCTGAAGGTTGTCTTATTGCTTTACTTGCTGTATCCTTAGCTGTGCAGAAGATTTAAGCTTAATTAAATCTTATTTGTATATCTTTGTTGTTGTGCATAGCTAGTGAAGTCTTTGTCATAAAATCTTTCCCAGACATTTGCACTAGGTTGTTTATCACAGCTCAATTTACAATCATCAAAATGTGGAAGCAACCTAAATGCCCAACAACCTAGAAATGGATTATTAAACTGTGGTATATGTACACCATGGACTACTATTCAGCCATTAAAAAAGATGAAGACTTTACATCTTTAGTATTAACCTAGATGGAGTTGAAACACATTCTTCTTAGTGAAGTATTGCAAGAATCCAATGTACTCAATACTAATGTGAAACCCACACAAAAGAAAAACTCCAATCAATTCAAGATGGGGAGCAGGGAAACAAGGAATAGGGAGAGAGGAGGAGAGAGGGAGATGGGTGTGCTCACACCTAATGGGCACAATGTTAGAGTGTATGTATGGCACACCTCCTGGGGGCAGGACACAATTATAAGAGAGACACTATCTAACAAATGCCAACACTGTAACCTAATTCTTTGTACCCTCAAATTAACCTGTAATAATAATTTTTAAAAAGACCAAAAAAAATCCAGCATTCTGAGAATTAAAACATTAGGATTGCAATACTCTTATGAGAGGAAAGATATAATGTGATCAAGATATTAGACCAAATCTCACAACCAAAAGCTTCCAGATTGATGTCACTGGAAGTGGATGTTGGGTGTAATGCATTACAGTGTTTTTCCCCCAGAAAGCACAGGACAGACCAACAAGCTT